TGGATGCTGCCTTAGTATTTGACAAGTATCCCTGTCATCTCTTATCCGCCAAAATCACTATTCATATAATGTAGAACTGCCGTATTTGGGGATCAGCACACAAGAGACTGGGCCATAAAAAAGTCAAAGACTTGGCATTAAAAAGAAAAAAGACTATCGATAGTTGGCTTTTAGTAGATAAGTTTAATTATAGACGTGGTCCAGGACGTAACAGTCCGAACGCGAGATATACTCGGTTGCAATGCTGAACAATGATGAGGGAATCTGCAGCGTAAAGTTGGGCTTCCATGCCATTTGAGAATCCAGTGTTTAAGGGCTTGGTCTGTGAGACTGGCGTATACGTGCTGTCAAAAGCTTGCGGCAAAATGTAGAACATAATGTCGGGAATAGCATGGATACAGTGGCAACGATGGAGTGAAATCAGTAAAACTGATAAGGGAAGCATTCTACTCAGCAAGAGGGAGAATATGAGAGAATCTGGAACAACAGGATTGTGGAATAAAGTGCAATCTTGGATAAGCACTTTCGGCACAGTGGCGTTGATGTGGGAACAAGCGGAGGAGTGTCAATAGGTTGAAAATAGGTTTGTACAAACAAGTAAGAAATTGTGCTATTGAAGGACAAAAGTGGAGATACCAAAACTGTTTAGCAGACAATTGGTCAGAGGATCGACTTCATTTGTCTCTTTGACGAGTTGTAGTGTGGTGCTATGACTGGCAGGACTCGATGAGGATGTACCAAGCTCATGATCACATGTTAGACATTCTCATGCATACTATGGAATCTGGACAAAGTGCGTTCCTCTAGGTCTTCCTGCCAAAATGACCAAGTTGCAAAACAAGGTCAAACAACATCTACAAATACTTCTCACTAACTTTTCTACCAACGTTACTTACATTCCTAGTATTTCCTAATCACTCAATTTGACTAGCCTCTCTATCTTCGGTTTAACAGCACACGTACCATTTTCAGTATACCCACTTCTTTGAGACTATTCTATCTCATTTGGATTAGGAGTTGGACAGGCTTAAACAAATCTTAGCTGAGAACAATTATGCGTTTGGATTAATTGTCAAAAATGTCAAAATTCTATGAAATTTGGTGGAAAGAAATGATTATTTATGGCAAGACAACTTTATGTCCAAGTTCATAATGCTAACAGCCTTACTACTCTGAAGAGAAATATGCGAATTACTGAGGAAAGAGGATGTCAGGACCTCTGCAGATCAGGCTGCTTTGCTGTTTTTTATTCTCGTTTGATGGTAACTATGGCGGGGAGGGAGACTTAGCAACAAATATGTATATATAAGAGGCTCTCAGAACACAAAACCGCATACAAAAGTTTATGGATTCAGAAATGGAAGGTGGCTGATTATGTGATCACTACAGGGCACCAGATATATTGTTTTAAACCCCAAAATTTTGTCGGATATGCGGCTTCACAGCTAAGCGGAAGATCAGAGAGTCGATTGAAATTGACAAAGAATATCGTGAATAAACAAAAACTATCTCTGGCCGCTGGATATAATTAGACAGAGAGAAGTAGAGAAGAAAATGGGAACAGAAAAAGCCACTGCGTAAGAGGAGAAGACTTGACAAAGTTGGAGTCTGATTTCGGACACAAAATTGCCAACTAACTCGCACACGCAACCATGGGCTAGTTTATTTACATACAGAAAAGTTGTGACCACATCCGCTTCAAATTGTGTTTGTCAAGTTTGTCCAAGATGGTAGGCAAGACCCCATCGAAAGTCCCGGTGTACATTCATAAAACTCATTATCAAAGGTAATACAGATACTACTCATGGATATGTTAAAAAGTCTGAGTATGGGGGCCATACCCAACCGATGCTTCGCCAGAGTTTGCACTAGAACCTGAATGGCTCCTTGAAGAGGAATATTTGTGTACACAGATATATCATCACAACTTAATAGCCCATTTTCCTGTGAAATGATCTCCTGATTGACAAATTCTACAAACTCATAAGAAGTTTTGACTGAATATTGCCAATAATCAGCAGCTTTTCATAGTTTTATGCATAAAGAGCATGTGATTTTATGCGCCACATTATCTTTATTATTTGCAGTTAGTCTAAGAAGGACATCCTCCTTGTGATCATTATGAAGACCGTAAGTCGGGGGCCCCCTTGCATCTCTCTGGAGTAGTGAATTATTTTTCGCCTTCTCCATTTCACCATTATTTAAGCATACCTTAAGGACATCCTTCAGCCTAGTCGTAAGTTTAAGATGAACTAACATTATTCTATATAACTTAATCTATTAATCGAAGGTATGAAGACCAAGATGTTGGGGCCTTTTGTGTGGTCGCAGTCTC